TGGGTGAAGGGCCAATGCTGAAGCTTGACCAGCCCTTAGCATGAGAACAGCACGGAGCCTGCAAGAGCCACTGCATTCGAAGACCTACTCAAGTCCAAGAAGTCAGTTGCTTTATCGGATCTCGAGCAAGCTCTGTGACAAGAGGAACTGAGCCGGAATGGGGCTTCCGGGCTCAACCTCTGGAACTGGAACTTGGGCGTTGCCTTCACGGCACCACGCAGGCTCAGAGCGACTTGCGCAGTGCGATGACAGCACTAGTCATGGCGACCAAAGCAGAAGCGGCCACTGCGGGCTGTTCTTCAATCCAGCTGAAGATCTTCGGACTGTAGGCCTTTGGAATCTGGCCCTGTCCCAATTGGTTCAGCTCCTCCTTGAGGCGCGTGGAGCGCATCGAGGCCTGAGACTTCGTCTCTTCGGTAGTGTGGCGGCTGAAGAACTCTGGGTCGGGCTCAATCTCGGGCGCGAAGGAACGCTGCGAGCGCGGCGCCACAGGCTCCACCAACTTCTGCACGCGCTCCATGATGCAGAGTCCGGGGCCATCGAAGCCTTGTGGTCGCTTCAGGCTGGAGGTCCCCGGCCCACAGAGGTGCAAGCAGCCCTCCTGGAACTTGAAGATGTAGGGGATAGCCGGCGGCGGACAGCTGCTTCCGCTTGGGAGCACTTCAATGTCCAGGTGGCCCTTGGACGCATCCATGCGGAAGACAGCTGAGAGAGTCTGCCCCATGACAGTGACGTTCGCATGCAAGCAATCGTTGAGGAACTCGATACGCTGGCGATAGCCACCCAAAGCCTTCGCCACGTTGCCTTCCCAAACACCCACGATGCGAGCGTCGAAAGCCACGGCACCCACGGCCACCTGTTGTTGCGCGAAGGCGCCCAAATGTGACATGGTCTCCTTAGCTGGGCAGAGACTACGAATCACCGAAAGTGGGTTGCACTCTGGGTGGGGCAGGCCTGCGACTCCTTGGAAATGGCAAGTATGTTTGACGCATCACCGGATGATGCTCTTGCAGATTCAGGCAGGTCTCCGCAGAAGTGAGAGTGTGGCCGAAGTAGTTGCTGGCCTCATCGGTGACCTCCGGGGTGCCAAGCATCGCCGATGCACCAAGCTTGGTGAGATCGGCGAGGTTAGCGACAATGCCATGGGATGAGCCCTCGTCACTGCTGGGGTTGGTAGTGGATCCCACAGAGCTTTGGCCTGCCTTGAACGTGGCAAAGTTCGTCGCGGCTGCAGGCTCCTCCTCGTTCAAGTTCTCGGGGCTGGAGATCTGGAAGGCGGCCACCAGCTGTCTCTCCTTGCCCAAACTGAGCGCAGAGCGTGGCACCACGGAGAGGTGGAGTGTGGTGTTGAGCTTCTGACTGGA